TCTGTCCTCGGTGCGCGCGGTGCACTCCGCAATGAAGTCCGCCAGAGCCTGCCCTTTGATCGTCGGCCTCGGCTTGAAGTCCACGTCATACTGGCCGATCATCAAGGACCACTTGGTTATCCTTCCGCTTGCCATTGGGTTCCTGAGGACTGTGGCGAGGGGCTGAGTTGTGTAGATTGTCACCGGATGTGCCTGGAAATACGGCGCCAGGCGCTTGATGGATGCAATCAAGGCGAGGATCGTCTTTTCCATCAGTGTGTACCTTGTCTCGGGGCCGTTCAGCGCCTTACTTACAAAGTATATTGGCCGCTGAACGCCTTCGGATTCCTTTAGCAGTACGGCGCTTACGGCCAGCTCGGCCACCGCCAAATACATATACAATCTCTCCCCGGGATCCGCCTTGGTGAGGACGAGCGGAGAGGAGAGATATGCCTTGAAATCCTCGAAAGCAGCCTGACACTCCGGGGTCCATTGGAAGGGGTTGGCCTTCTTCATGATCTGGAAGAAAGGGATCGCCTTATCGGCGAGCTTGGATAAGAATCTGCTCAGGGCTGCCAGACGCCCGGTGAGTCGCTGCACGTCTTTTAGGTTCTTTGGGGCCTCCATGTCCATAATTGCCTTCACCTTCTCCGGGTTAGGCTCGATCCCCCGCTCGCTCATCATGTAGCCGAGGAATTTGCCGCCCTTGACGGCGAAGGCACACTTTTTCGGATTGAGCCTCATGCTGGCCCTCTCCATGATGCTGAAGATCCTCTCCATGTCCTGGACATGGTCCTCCTTTTTCTTGCTTTTGATGAGGATGTCATCCACATAAGCTTCCATCGTCTTTCCAAGCACGTCTTTGAATAACATCCCAATCATCCTCTGGAAAGTAGCCATGGCGTTCCTCAGGCCGAATGGCATGACGATGTAGCAATACACGCCGTCCGCCGTGACGAACGCCGTTTTTTCGGCATCATCGGGATGCATGAACACCTGATGGTAGCCTCTGAACGCGTCCATGAAGCTGAGCAGCTCGCAGCCCGCTGTCTCATCCACCAGCAAGTCGATCCTCGGTACAGGATAAGGGTCCATCGGACAAGCTTTATTGAGGTCCGAGTAATCGACGCACATCCGCCAAGTGTCGCCCTTCGGGGCTAGTACCACGTTGGCCAACCACTCCACGTGGATGACCGGCCGGATGTGTTTAATGCTGAGGAGAGTTGCTGTCTCCTTCCTGATGAACTCGCGTCGGTCGGCCGCCATATATCTTTTCTTTTGCTGTACGGGCTTGGCGTCCGACCGCACGGCGAGTCTATGGCATATGAGGTTGGGGTCGATGCCTGGCATGTCCTCCGGTCCTCTGGCGAACAAGATCCTGAACCTTCGGAGGACGGCTATGACCCCTGCCCTGATTTCCGGCTCTAGATCCGCACCGATGGACACCTTCCTGTCCGTCGGATCGTCGAGCTCGATTTCCTCCAGCAGGGTTGCTGGTTCTAGATGAGCGTCCAAGTCGGCCTGTTTGGCCTTTTCGGAGATGCTGTTGACCCGAGCCTCCCGCTCGTTGAGCTTCTCCATGGCCTTCGTGTAGCAGGCCCTGGCCATATGCGGGTCCGTACGTGCCACCCCCACTCCAGTGTCGGTGGGGAACTTGATGCATGAATGTCGTACGGAGCATATGGCCCCCAAGTCTTCCAAGCCGGGTCGGCCCAAAATGGCGTTGTGGGCGCACCTTAGGCGGACCACGACGAACGTCATGCTGATCCGGGCAGTGTGAGGACCGTCGCCGACCTCTACCGGCAAAATGATGGTGCCCTCAGCGTCAATGCAATCCCCGGTGAAGCCGGACAGCGGGGTGCGTAGGGGGTGCAGCATGTCCTTCCGGAGCCTCATTCCTTCGAAAGCCTCCCAGTAGAGGACGTTCACACTGCTCCCGGTATCAACGAGGACGCGACGGACGATAGCATCGTTCACGTCCATGCTGATCACCAGCTCGTCTCTGTGCGGCGCCGGTGACATTGGCAGGTCGGCGGGGCCGAAGGTAATTGCCTCGACTCTATTGCGCTTGGTGGGGGGTGCCGATACGGAACCCACATAGAGTGATCTCTCAAATTTTTTCCGCTCGGCGGGTGTATCCCCTGTCTCAGCGCCCCCGAAGATCACCTTGATCTCCAACTTCTTTTTCTCGCCCTTCGGGCCGAGGGATCCCCCCGGACGTTTATCTGCACTTCGATAATCCACGTCCTGAGGTTCTGCCTCGCGCCGATCGTCGCGGCGCCATGTCTTGTGCCTTGAGTTCGGCTTCTGCTGGCTGTTTTTGTTCAGCAGCTGGGCGAACTCGCCCAGGTACCCCTGTCGGATCAGCTCGTCGATCGCTTTCTTTAATTGGCTGCAATTATCCGTCAGGTGGCCGGTCCTCTGATGGTATTCACAGTAGGCCGATTGGTCGTGCCCCATATACCTCTTCATATCTTGGGGCTCCATAAGGAGGCCCTTGTCCTTAATGGCCTCGAAGATCTGGCTCACTGGGTAGGCCAAGGGAAAGTAACGGTCGTCCGGCCGCGCTTGGCTGTCTCCGGACGGAGCCTTCCAAGGGACCATTGCCCCGTCCACCTTCTTCTTTTTGTTTGGGGCGGGGGGATTGGTTCCTGGTCCGGGTCCGAGTCTGTCTGCCATCTTCCGTGGCTGGGCCGCGGGAATTCCGTCCCGCTGCCTGATCTCCTCCTCAATGGAGGCATACTTCTGGGCCCGAGCAAGAACCTCGGTGTAGCTGGTGCCGGGATTCCTCCTTAGGTCCCGGTATAGATCCCCCGTGGCCAGCGCACTGGTGAACATGTTGGCGGCCAGACGTTCGTCCAGATCGTCGACCTGCAGGACCTCGTCCCTCCACCTTACCAGGAACCTAGCCAGCGGTTCGTCCCGCCCTTGTTTGATGTGGGCGAGAGCCGTGACGTCCTTCCTGGGGGTGGTGCTGGCAGCAAACTGCGCCATGAACTGCTGGGAGAGCTGTTCATATGAGTCGATGGTGCCTGGCCTCAGCTGGCCGAACCATTCTTGCGCCGGCCCCCTGAGGGTGCTGAAGAACAATCTGCAGATGGCCTCGTCTGATGCTCCCAGCATGGACAGGTTCCCTTGGTAGCTTATCAGATGGGCCTTGGGATCGCCAGCCCCATTGTACACCAAGTTGCCCGGGGGCCTGCAATCCCGGGGAATCTCGACGCTCATCACCCGTGGGGTAAAAGGTGATGTGAGAGAGAAGGAGGGTGTGGCCGAGCCGACGTCCGCCCGCCTATTCATCTCGGCTATCTGTCTCTCCATGGCTTCCAGCCGTGCGTCCTGTGCGGCCCTTCCGGGGGACACAGGGGGCGCGGCTTCGGGGACGGCGCTCTGCTGAGCGGCCACAGCATCGCGCGGCCGCCTAAAGATCTGCGTCCCTCGCCGTTGGAAACGCCGCCCAACGGTATTGATCCTTGGGGTCTCGTCCCCCCGCGGGATCTGGCGGGGGGCCGATGGCGTGTGAGCCCTGGACGCGGCAATGCTGGCCCTGGTTCGTCCTCCCGTTCCCTGGGAGCCGGAACCCTCGCCTAGCCGCTCGTGGACTGAGGGTCGATGATCGCTGGACCCCATCGTTTCATCATACGACTGCATGCGGCGAACGGGAGATAGGGGGGTTCGCTGGGTGCTTGCCGAGTACACTTGCTCTCGGGCTTCCCGTTCGTCCGCCAAACGGCGCATGGTGTCCGCAAGTTCCCGCATGAGGCGGGGATCCTGCCTGGCCTCAAGGGGAATGAGGTCGGTGATACCCCCGTTTCCCCCGGAGGTCCATATTGTTGCGGATCGTTCCGAGTTCTGGCCGCGATTCCGGCGGCTTGACTCCAGACGCTCGGAGAGATCACGCTGGTTGTGGCTTCCTGACATTGTGCTTGCTGCGGGTAGATTTAGTAGCTGTTTGGGAGAGTTTCTGGAAACTTTTTGCTCAGTTTCCCACAGACGGCGCCAGTGTTGAGGTTTATTCCTTCAACCCTTGGACCCAACACGTAAGCCCAAAGATTTCGAGTGGAGTGGGTGTGTGGTTATCTAGCCCGACAACTATCAGATGAATCAGGAAACAAGAGTAATAGCAGGCAATGTAAATAGGTATTATTAACTTCGTAATAACTCCCCTAAGTACAATCTACTTGCTAAAAAGGGCACGTCGGCCGTTCGTCTTACAAGGCGATAGGAATGCTACTCGTAAGAATGCTGGAGCTAGTATGCTAAGAATAGAAAGTTGCCAACCCTTTACAATGAAATAAATGCTTCTATTTATACCCGCCAATGGGCAGGTGGCTGTACTGACGTGGCAGCCTGTGGACCGCTGGTGTCCCAACTACCAAATCTTTAGCATTAAATGCACTTCCCGCCAGAATCTAGGTTTCCCGCCGGATCAGTGGGGACGTTCGTCCACCCCGGAAGTGAGTTGGATTGCTCCAAGTGACCCTTGAGGGATATCGGCTGTTCGTCGCCTGGCCTTTATAGATACTCACCATGTGCACTGGGTTTTCCCCGATAACCACAGGCTTGCTCCGGGGACGTTCGTCGCCATCCCCGCTGGCCCGTGATTCTGCTCTTTGTCTCTGCACAGACGTTCGTCGGAATGAGCTGCTGGGCCTGAGTCCTCCAACACCAGACGTTCGTCCATCCTCAAGAGACATGGGCCTGTGGGCTGGCCTGGTTTCTAGCTGGACGTTCGTCTGGCAAAATGGGTTAGTGGGCCGGACCTCGGCTTGGGCCCTTAACCCAACAGAACTGTTATATATTTATTACATAAATAAAAGTAATTACTATCATTATAGCATTACAAGACTTTAAACAGATAACATTTTTCAAATTTGAGAGTGATTAGTAATCCTATTTAGAGAATAAAACATGACCGTCCATTTTCAAATTCTTAAACATGACCGTTCATTTTGAAATTCTAAAATTTTAGGGAGTACTTTTTTCGGAATTTTCCCATTAGATAAGCTAGCTCAGCTAACCTGCCAAAATTGGAGCTTAGAGTAGTTGACAACATAATAATCCCGAGCAAAAGGAGACTTGTACTTGTCTGAAGGGTACAATGGCTCGATTTCACGGACGAGGCAGCCCTGCGCTACCAGCAAGCGGCGGTGCTCTTCCGGGACATTCGGCCAAACCGCCGCTACCACCGGATAAGCCGTGCCTACTTTCCTCAGTCCCTTCACCAACCCGACCACGCCTTTCACGTAGTCGCCATCACCGGCGAGAAACGTCACGTATGCCCGCCCCGCGGTGGGCCTGGCCGCCGACACTACGCCGCCGTTGCTTGCACCAGGAGCCATTTTTAATGATTTTTAAAGGACTTGAAATTAAATTTATTTCTTTTATCTGAGGGAACTCGTAATATTTTAGAATTGCATTTGAGGGTAATTTGCATGAAAATTGGGGTGCATGACATGCTACATTTGTAGGGCTGCAAGTGACCAACAGTACGATGTCGTTTTTGTGATTTCCAGCGACAAGTCACCAAACTGGCCGTTGGGTCGCTGCTCTACTGCTGCCACGTTTCAAGCTGGTCGTCATCAATTGAAACAGTATTCGACCACGTGGAGACTTCACTCTAATTGCCACGTGGCGTAACCTAGCGTTCTTGAGTGTCATATACGAAGTTTTATCCAAAACTAGAACTAGAATATGGGCGAACATATATTTTGTGCAATATATTTATAACATATCTATACATACATATGATACACCCAAAAATAGAGATACACCCAAAAATAGAGGCTCTAGTTAGGGATATTTTAGACTACGGTCCACTTCAAATTCTAATTTTAATTAAATTATGGGCTTAAAGAACGATATGATAAATTTTCTAAAAAAATCTTTGATCCATCCAATATACGGTTCTGTCTCCCTACATCACATTATATATACACATATGTACACCTTGGAGATCAAATAAAAAATACACTCTCATCAAAATTGTGAAGGGTTTCACTTTTTACAGTGTTTGATGCACTATGAAGTTGTGTATGCACTTTTTCATTTGGGAGAAAAGCTAAGTAGCACCGAAACGAGAAACACGAGAAACGTAATTTCCAAAAAATATAAAATACGAAACGTGTGGGAAACGCATAAATATTAAAAAATATAAGGATATATCTATAAATACTTTTTCATATATGTACATGTTTTTTCATGTAATTTGTTTAATGACCTAATAATAAAAACATTCCACATGTTCAAATTTTGAAATAGCATCGTATTATTACATAATTAGACATTAAATGCAATACATTTCAGGCAATTCAATTCATTGCGTTACAAAATGTCACAATGTTGCAGCGAAGAAATACCACAAAAAATCACCATTATTTTTTAAAAAGACACTATTTTCCATCACAAAATCTCTTAAGAGAAAAGTTGGAAATTCAAGGTTTCTGAAATGCTAACTATTTAGGGAAACGGGTTTCCCAATTTTTCTTAATATGGAAACGGCCCCTAAACTGGAATTTGAAGTTTTCGAAGTTTGGAAACGCTTGGGAATTTCCGAAACGGAGAAACGTGAGCCGCGGAGAGTTTCCGTGCTTCACAGGAGAAAAGTTTATTTTATTTAACAATCCGTTACCGCATTTTTATGCTGTACTACCGGCATGGCATGGCCTGATCCTTGTTCAAAAGTGTAAGAAAAGAGATTTAAATTGCATCAAATTGAATAGGCATTTTTATACATTGTTCTATTAGCATGGCATGCATGGCCTAATCATTTTTTTTATTTTTATTTTTTTACTCCAAGAGATCTGGGGGAGGGGGATGGGGGGCCTGGAATAATCAGGGCTGAAACTCACTCCATTGAGTTTCGAACCCTTATGTGCCTAGCGGGTTTCGAACTCGAGACCTTCCACTAGGCGCGATAACCTCACAACCAGCTAGGCGCAGGTGATAGCTTGCAGGTGATAGCTTGCAGTTTCCATGGGAAGAGTGGTTCTTACTAGAATCACACCATATACACGTACACACGAGGCACACCCACACCCCCTAGACACACACACACAATACATAGAATTTGATCTAATGAGAATACAAATTGGAATAAATCTCGAGCGTTAAATTTGGAAATCGTACATTATGTGAAACATAATGTGCAGTAATTTTTTTTAAAACCAACCTTTTCTACTGACGACACTAACACTACAAGAAAATTCGGATTTTTCTAGTAGTGTAAAGTCGTTGTGTGCATCAAAATAATTCAATATTTGCACTAATATCGTAGTATAGCGTAGTAAGGATCGTATCCACATGGAAATGAATATTTCTCTTTTATGAAATAGTAACAAAAGATGGGGTTTTAAGATTATTTCAAGCTTTAAGAATATTTAAACACTAAGATGAACGACTTATGTGGTTTAATTTAATAGAGATGGAGACTTAGTGTTGCTTATATCCACGTAGTGAAATGTTCTTCGTTCCCGATTATATCTTTAATTAGGGGGGATCCAGAATTTCGAGTCAAGGGGGCGATTTTTTTTTCCATTCGTGTAGGGGAGTGAATAATTTTTCTAGTGTAGCATGGAAAATTTCTTTCGCTAGTGTAGCGGGGCAAAAAAATTCAACAGTATGTAACGAAGCAGAATTTTTCCACTAGTGTAGGGCTCTGCAGTTATTTTTTATATATAATAAAATCATTAATACATACAAGACGTCATTTAAATTATTGTTACATTCTAAGTTTAGACAATGAAAAATTATTTTGATTTTATAATTTAAGTGCTCTAGAAAAGAGTATTGATACACTAAAGCATAAGAAATGACAAATTAAAGGAAAATTATTTGAAAATTAAAAAGGACATATAATAGTTAATCAAATTATTTGAACATAATGAGTTTAAAAGGTACACATTTACCTATACATTTTAAACAAATTTTGTCTTGTTTAACCACATGGATCTTATCAGAATAAAGAATTAGTTTTTGAATTTCAATTCTTGTCTACCAAGAAGGGTGTTCGTGAGTTACGAATGATTTTCTTAATATTACAATAGTACGTATGAGGTTATTATTTTTAGACTAATATTATAATGTTAATTCATATATATCGTGCATATTATATTTGTATTAATGTTAAAATAAATAAAATTTTATTATCTATGCCATAAATTGTTTGTAGAAAGTAAGAAGTATATGAAAGTTAATAAAAATTGCATTTATGGGTGAGAGGGGAGGGAATCTGGCGACTTCAAGGGAAATTGCCGTCACTGCCGGTGAGCTTCCCGGCAAGGCAGCGGTGAACAGAGCAGCAAAATGCAATTTGAACAGAGACCAAGAGGGACGAGGTCAGGCTGCGGTCTTCACCATGGCCGACTGAGAGATGATTGCAGGTGGGCTTTAGGTAGAGGATGGGCTCAATGGCCGAGGCAGACTTCTGATAATTTGGCTTTGAGGAAACACCTTCTACCAAGGCAGACTCCAGATCGATGGAAGACATTTCCTAGTGGCACAAAGAAACAATCCAATTTCCTACACCATTCAAACGGGTTTGAAATTTTTATCGAAAGCAAATCCTTCCGTTTCTGTATTCTTGATGGTAATTGTGTTCGCATTTCTGAATCGAAGTATGATATTTAAACTAATGTTGAATTTGATCTGGAAAGGGTTATTTGGATAAAAGACTCTATCTTCAAGCTTTTATCGATAATTGGTCATGTTCTAGGCTTGAATTGAAAAACTCCTTATTAATTATTCATGATACCAATTTTTTGGAGGTTTCTTCCGCATCATCATCAGAAGGGATGTGATTCTTTATTTATAACGGAAGGTTTAAATGAAACGGCAATTAAATGCTTTTAGTTAAGACTTACAAGAGCAATTAAATTGATACAAGAATTTGCAAGTAATCAGCCAACTCATAAGATAATACAGGATTCAAGCAGGGCCTCTTCAGGTATGGTGGACTTTGAGTGGAATCTCTATTCGAATAGAGATGACTCCAATCAGAATGACTTCTCTATTTCTGGTCCTTTGATTGGAGTAGATATCGAGCAATCTGTCTCCTGTGAGAAACTTCTGATGTTGACCGTCGAGGAGCATGCTCACCTATCATCAGACTCTTCTCTTGCAACCATTAGGGATTTTTTCCGGACAACTATGACTAACGGGATGGACTCATTTTCTCATTTTCTTATCAAAGAATTTAAAAGAATTATTTCTTCCTAAAGCTATTTGGAAAATTGTGATTATTCGTACAAGAGACATGATGGAGCAAAAGATTGTGCTTGTCAAGCGGTAAATACTCCGACAGAGCCTACAGGTACCCAATCTAGGCTTTGAATATGACAATGCTTTTGACGAGAAGATTTTATATTCAGGGGATGAGTTTCTTGGTCATGCTTCAGAGAGCAAGAAGAGGGCTCCAATTTCAACGATTGCAGATTTATGGAACTCCGATACAAATCAAGACATTTGCAACAAGGCTTGTTTTGTCACAAAGGAAAATTGCTTGCCCACACAAAACCTCAACACTCAAATGAAAATTTACAAGAAAATGCATCAACGCTCGCATCCAATGAGACAAGATCCCAATCTCATATGGGATTTTGATAATGAATATTAGTGGGTTTATTGGGAGGGCTCTGTCTTGTACTTTGGGTTGAGCACTAGTTTTTCTGTTTTTTTTTTCTTTCTTCTTTCTTCTTTTTCTTTTTCTTTTTTGTTGCTTCTTCTTTCTTTTCTCTCTCCTTGTACTTCTTGGTTTTGATCATTAATAAACTATCATCTTTGCCAAAAGAAAAGTAAGAAGTATATGGATTGTGTAATTTAATGTCAACAAATATTTTTCTTTTGGATTTACTTCAAATAATCTAAAAATTACTTAACTTGTGTGTCTGGTATATAATATCGTTTGGTATTTTACAAAACAGGGTAATAATTATCTAATAAACACAACTAAACATTACAAAACTAGAAAATTTATATAATCAGTATGGTAATCATGTCTTAAACATTGAGTTGTTATATTGTTTATTTATTTAAGTTATGTGTATTATTCTAGATGTTTCTTCTTTCAAACCACCAATTAAATACTACGTTATGTAAGGCTATATATTAATTTTGAAAACTAAAAAGTTAATGGTAGCAAACACATATATATATTTATTTAATGTATGAAAATTTTACGGAGTATGAAAATATTACATACTTCGTATATAGTAGAAAATTTTACGGAGTATGAATATATTGTCTTTAACTATATTCC